AGCCACCCAGGCACCCAATCTTTTTTTTTTTTTTTTTAAGATTTTATTTATTTACTTGATAGAGAAAGACACAGCAAGAGAGAGAGAGGGAACACAAGAAGGGGGAGCGAGAGCCGGAGAAGCAGGCTTCCCGCTGAGCAGGGAGCCCAATGCGGGGCTCGATCCCAGGACGCCGGGATCATGACCTGAGCCGAAGGCAGACGCTTAACCATCTGAGCCACCCAGGCGCCCTAAGAGTTGGCTTCTATCACAGTTTGACAGGAAGGATAGTTCTATTTTATATTACTTGTCTAATTCATGGTGAAGGCTCTTGCCACCTTCTGTTCTTTTGGAATAATATAGACTATAAATAAAATAACAAAGATTGAGGATGGCTGCTTTGAGGCCCCAGACCATTACCTTCAACAGAACCTACCCTTTTTGTCTTTTCTAGATACTGTTGTGAAGGACCAGGCTCGAATGGGCTCATCTAGCATGCCGGGGGGCAGTACGCCTGTGAGCAGCGCCAGTATGATGTCAGGTCAGCTCACTGCTAACTCTCCTGGGGGGACAAAAGTAGAAGTCAGTTGTTATTCTTAGGTTTGCTCCCTCTTTGTGGCCTGGTTTCTTGTGGTCCTTCTCTTTTCCAATATGATTATCTTCCTGACAGTACTGACCTGCGTGGTCTCCTCACCAGGCTTCAGCATGTTTGACACCTGGTATACTTCAGTGACACTGCGTATGGTATCAACAGTCTCTTCTAGGCCAGAGTCCCAAAAATTTTTTACAGAGGGACTTGAAAGTCCCAACAAACCATGAAGAGTAAAAAGAGATCCTTTCATCTCATAGTTTAGAGTGACAGTAGTTGCATGATCCTCACAAACAAGATTAAGAAATTAGGGGTGGGGGTAAAGGTGGGGTTTATACATAGGCATAAGAATCGTTCTCCAGAGCATCTGTAATGTGCCTAGTAAATTGTAAAGGCTTATATGATATTATTCCTCATTATTGTTGAGTCCTCGTGAATTAAGAGCGAGTTTTTGTACAGAGTACACAATTTTGTAGAAGAAACCATAGGCTCAACCCCTAGGAGTTATACATGTAGGCAACATCCATGCTGGTGTACTTGTGGTAGTGAGAACATTTACTCAGACACCCTCAAAGAACTGTCACAATTGTTTTTTGTTGTTGTTGTTTTGTTTTGTTTTGGTTTTGTTTTTTTAAGAACTAGCTACCTTCTAGAACTTATCCTCTAGGTATCTTGCCTATGGGCAAAATGATACATATCCAGGGCTGCTAATTGTAGCCTTATTTGTAATAGCAAAGCATTGAAAACAGCTCCCAGTAGGAAACTGGTTAAATCAATTATGGGACATCCGTTCAGTGGAAAGCTGTATAGCCAGAGAAAAGAATGAGCGTTTCATGTTCTTTTTTAGCTTCAACTCCAAAATAATAATGTGAAATGAAAAGAGCCAAATGCAGAACCATGTCCAAGACCAGGGCAAAAATATATAATTATATAATCACATTCTTATATATGACTTTTATATGCACATTCTTATAAAGTTATATTCATGTATATGCGTAAAATATTTCTGGAAGGATACACCCCAAAAACGGTACCATAAGTTGGCCAAGCAAAAGGGCAAGAGAAATTTTTTACTGTACACTCTTCTGAACCTTTGGTATTTTGTACCTGTTTAAAAAAATACATATATAACAATTTGAAAATTAACTGGATAATTGAGGGGGGCAGATTGAGGGTAATCCTGGTCATTAGATGAGTAGAAAAAAACAAATGGCAATAACTTCTAAAACACTATTAGCATTTCCTCACTGAAAATGACTTTTGATAATTTTGAAAGCTGCCAGCTTAACTAGGCAGCATGATATAAGAATGCATGAGCTTTGGCTCCAGCCTTGTGCTCTTCAGTAGGGCCATGACTAGCCATATGTGACTATTTAAATTAATTAAAATGGAATAAAATTTAAAACACGGCTCCTTGGTTGCACTAGCCATATTGCAATTTCTCAGTAGCCACGTGTGGGTAGTGACCACTTTGTTAACAGAGGTTACAGAGCAGAAAGTTTGGTTGGATAGTTCTGCCCTAGACAGGCGTCAGTTTTAATTCAAGCATAATTGCCACTTACTTAGCTGTGTGCTTTGTACAGACTTCTTAAACTCTCCAAGCTTGGATTTCTTTACCTGTCTCCTAAATTGATTAGAAATTAATTTTAATTTGAAATTAGATTTAATCTGTAAAAATCTGGGTGAGTAGAGGCCTTCAGAAAAAGAACGAGTGGAGTTGCTGGCTTGTCTCAGTCAGAAGAGCCTGCAACTCTTGATCTTTGGGGTTGTAAGTTTGAGCCGCATGTTGGGTGTAGAGATTACAGAGAGAAAAAATAACTGTTGTGTCACTTTTGAAATAGGTATTATGTAAAACTGGTGACTAAGATTTCCATGGTTGGTATCTGGCTCACTATTAGCTGTTTTCTTTTAGGGATTTCTTCAGTGCCAACCCCTTCACCCCTTGGACCTCTGGCAGGCTCACCAGTGATTGCTGCGGCCAACCCCCTTGGGATGCCTGTTCCAGCTGCCGCAGGCGCTCAGCAGTAATGGCCCCTTCTGTCTCCTGATGCCTGAGCAGAGGTGGAGGCGTCCGCGCTCTCCTTGATGCAGCTTGCGCCTGGCGGGGAGGGGTGAAATACTTCAGAAGCACCGTGTCTGAACCGTTGCTTGTGGATTTATAGTAGTTCAGTCATAAAGAAAAATTATAATAGGCTGATTTTCTTTTTTTTTTTTTTTCCTTCTTTTTTTTAACTCGAACTTTTCATAACTCAGGGGATTCCCTGAAAAATTACCTGCAGGTGGAATATTTCACGGACAAAATCTTTCCCCCCTTTCAAATTCAGTTTCTCATCACTAAAGAACAAAGATGAACCAGCCTCAATCCTGGCTGCTGCATTTGGGTGGAGATATCTTCCCATGTCCACCATTGCTCCCCCACCATCCCACACTATGGGGGGTTTATATCTCGTGCTCTTCTCCAGAGATTACAAAAAGGTTGTAGCTTCTTCAAGGGAGGTGGGAAGGAAGGAGGAAGAGAGGGCCCAAGCTACAAGAGCAGTGTACTGCTGGTCACTTTTCTCACACTACTCCAAGTACTTCAGTGGGGTTGTCCTGGTGAATCTAGTGGAAATATGTCTTAGTTTCATTGAGATGCTGAAAATCTACCCAAAGTGCAGACAGGTCCTGAAAACTTCCGTTCAGTATGAATCATGTCTTATTGACCTAACCCTAAATCCAGCTCACTTCTACTTTTAATTTCAGTTCAGTTTAAGATTATAATACCTTCCCTCCCAGGCTCCTTACCTTGGTCCTCTCCCCTATCATCTCCCCATGTGCTCTATAGCTGGTGGGAGGGGGAGGAAAAATCTTTTTCAGTTTTGACTTGGCCATTTTGAATTCAGTTAGTTACTGGGCTTAACTTATTGCTTTTTACAAAAGAAAAACATTGTCTATATAGGTTTCATGCTAGCAACTCTTTAAGAGCTAATGAAAGATGTGGCCACACCGAGTTTCATCTTAAGCTTTCTACCTTCTTTTCTTCCTTTCTTCCCCTTCCTTCACATGCCATCCAGTGAGAAGACCTGCCCCTCAGTCTTGTAAATGTATCTGAGAGGTAGGAGCAGAGCCACTATCTCCAGTGAAACTGAAATGGTAGACCTGTAATTGTGGGAAAACTATAAACTCTCTTGTTACAGCCCTGCCACCCCTTGCTGTGTGTATATATATAATACTTTGTCCTTCATATGTGAAAGATCCAGTGTTGGAATTCTTTGGTGTAAATAAACGTTTGGTTTTATTTATCAAGGTTAGATTTAAGTTCCCTGTGTAAAGGTCTCGCTGGGTGGGTGTCTCACGTTCACATCTGAGGGGCCTGCAACCCTGTACCGTGGAGGCTTCCCAAGGCCCCCATTTTTATACACCCCCCTCATTTGACCCATGGTACCGGGCAGGGCAGAGAGGCCTTAAAAAAGCACCACAAGCCAAAGCGTCTCTGGGGATTAAGGATCCTTTGCCATAAAACTCATTTTGTGTCTCAGCAGTGCAGGGATTGGGGATGGAAAAGTCGCCAGTTTTTGTGTGTTTGTGTGTGTGTAAAGTGGATTTTCCACTGTAATCCAACCACCTAAGTTTATCAGGTGCTTCACTGAGGAAGCCTAGTTTTTTAAGCACAATAGCAAAACCATCAGCTCTGTATTTTCTCCTGTTCTTTCATTACAGTAGCTGCTTGTGGGAACTAGGAAAAATTCTTCCAACATATTTGAAGGCCTAAAGTCTTAGTTCCCCTTTCTCCTACCTTTATAGATCATAAGCCTTTCTTGCCTGGGCGCCATAGACAAGCATAATTGTTTCACGAGTTGAATTTAATGAACTTATCTAACTTTATAACCCATCTTGGCTCTAGTAACTTGATCAAGGTGGTGGCTTTCATGAATATAACGGTAAACTTTAGAGGAAGCTAAAGCCTCCTTTTATAATGCTTCTCAACCATAGGGAAAACATTCTGTGTGGCAGGGTGATTTTCTTTCTTGTGGCCACTTAACAGTGGATATTTATTGTTCTTGACCCTTTTATGCCCTAGAATGCTGTGGGGGTTACCATGTTGAATTTGTGCAGAAGCTAAAAGCACCGGATGTGCCAGAGATGCAATTTGTGATTACGTTTGCACTGGATTGTGATTTGAACAGGACACTTAGGACTAATGAACTCTTTCTTTTGAGGTGGGGAGGAGGGTTGTAAATCGAGACTTCACATCCCACCCTTATAGCTCAGAGAATCTAGTTGTGGCTGAGGTTGATGTGGGGAGCTGCAGACAGCTGGACCTCCTAAAAACACATCAGACCTTGCAAGAGACGGAAGGTGAATGCAGAGGACTCTGAAATGCCACCCAAGAGCCTTTTAAAATAAATAGAAGTTTTTAAAATGCTACTTAAGGAGTCACTGCAGAAGCATGAAAAAAAGAAGACCCAGTTGGGCGGGTGGGTGGGGGGCAAGGGTTTACAGAGTAACAACTTCTGTGTTGTTGTAAATTACCTCATCTGTATACCTTGTATTGGGACACTTTATTTCTCAGCACTACCTGTGTCTGCATTGATTAGATGGCAGGAAATGGAATGCCAATATAAGACAGTTGTGTTGGCAATTACTCTGAAAGGTTTTTTAAGTATTTTTTAACTTTGTTTGAAGTGGCCCCCCCCCCTTTTTTTTAAGTTTGAAGTCAGAAGTTCCCCCTCGCCCCCTTGATTTATTGGTTGTAATTGTATTGTAATTGGTATAACTAAAACATAACTGTGCTGGGAAGAAGTTGTGCCATGAAGGTCTTTAATTTTTTTTAAATAAAAACATTTAAACAAATGAAATGTCCCTGCAGCCTGAGCAATATGCTTCTCCAACCGACACCGTGTGTGATAGATGGCTTAGCTTTCGTGTGCTTTGAATTTAATTTTGGGTTGATGGAGATGTGAAATGGGATGGATTAAGATTGGTTGAGGGTCTGGAAGTTTTTGACCTCAAGAGTCAGTGAAGAGAGCATGATGTTGTTGCTAAACAGGATTGGTTTCATTCCTGCCCTTGTCACTTACTGGGCTACTTGGCAAGTTACTTAACTTGTGAATCTGTTTCATCATCTATAAAATGGGGCCACTGCTTTCTTGGGATTGAATGAGAGTAAATGTCAAGTATCTGGCACCTGCTACGCTCTTGATAAACCTAATTCCCCTGGTATGGAGGATTGGTTCTGGGTCCTGGCTTTGCAAGTGATACACAGTACGATCCATTCTCTGGACCTCCTCGTCCTCTGTGTGCTCAGTCAGGGTGAGGTTCCGGGTGAGGTGTCTTCTGAGTTCCTTTTCAGCTCTAACACTGATTTAGAAAGTTTGGTGCTTAAATAAAAAGGTCCACAGAGACGGCTTTGTTCAATTGCAGAAAAGATCGGTGTTGAGTGAATGGTAGTAAGCCCTGTGGACGGTCAGCCTTGGAGATACCTGCGCCCTGGAGGTAACTTGCAGAGTCCTGACTTCAAGATGTTCTGGAGAGCTTATAGGAACATATTTGGCAGCTTAAACAGAAACTATTCAAAGGGCTGGTAAAAGAGGTGAAAAAGTTCACTTGCTTATCAGTGCCAAATGAGTCAATTCTGCAAGATTATATACTTGAGTTGCCATTTGATCATTCTCATTTAACCACAATTTTAAAAAATTGAAATCAGGAAATGCTGTTATCTCAGACTTCTAGTTTCTTTTAAATCTTCACTGCATACTATTTTATGACATCCACTTGTTATTAATATTGGGAGTTGAGACATGGTTTAGGTAAGAGGAACTATTGTGTAATCTCTAACCCTAACTTTTCATGAACTTTAATTTTATTTCCATTTTATACATGAGACAGGAAGACTAAATTGCTAGAGTGGGCCTGTTAGAGACAGAGGAATCTATTTTGTAAAATTGTCTTCGGGGTATGGCTAATTACCATAGTCCTAAAATAGTCGAGAAAATTGGAGATTGGTTGACAGATTGGGGAATTTTCATTTCCTCTCAGTCTTTAAATTTCATCTTGCCTCACCTGTTGTCAAGTGTGGTTATAATTAGAACTGACCATTTGAACATCTCTTGAAGAATCTAGTTTTTTTTACCACTGCCTATAGATTCCCACCAGCAGATTCTCTCCCAAGATTAGGGTTGGGTTGAATATTTGCTCAGCCATCAGTCTGCCCCCAGCTGGTGATCTCCCTTGTGCCTCAACTCCAGTGACTGTGGCTGATTTTCCTCATGGGACATGCTTGCTAGAGAGGCTGTCTTCCCCAGGGCCTTTTCCTGCTTGAGGAAAAAGTTAACCAAAAGGCTTTGAAGTAAAGTAGTCCCTGGTTCCCTCCTCAAAAAACAAGTCTAAAAACCTTGATCCAAGCAGATATTCACCCTATCTCAAGTCCCCTCAGCCTGCTTTCCCCCACTGCCATCACTATCCCCTTTCCCCTGTCTTGTAACACCTGAGCTTTTTATTGTATTATTATCTCTCCCCGCCTACATGTAAGCACCCTGCTGACCTTATATATCTTACTAATCTGTGCATCCTCATAAAAACCTTTTTTTTTAAAAAAGTGCACCAATATCCCTCAGGATTGAAGACGATTGAATAGAGTAGCACATGGAAAATGCCTAGCACCATACCAGGCGCATAACAGATGCTCAGTCAAAGGTAATTCCATCTCCACTCCCACCTCACCTTCCCACATCCCCCCACAGTAAGTAATGGAAGTATGTATTATTGCATAAGGAGCATCTCAAGGTCAGAAGACTCTTGCCCTTAAGTTTGCAGCTGTAATTATAAGCCATGGGTCAGACTGAAAATGTTTATTTAATGGGCGTTTGGTGAAATAGAAGTGGCTGAAGACTAAGCAATGATCCTGACCAATTTAGTAGACTTTGATGCTAACAGCCCTGCTTTCCACCACTTGTGTATAATAATATAAAATTCAGACTATTCTCAAAGTAAAATAGATGTATAGAGGGTGTCACAAGATAGTCTGGCTCTGGAGTCAAGGTATTCAAGTACTATTTCTAGATTTTGTACCTTAGTATGATTCTGTGCTAAATTGAACCACTTCAGAGAAGTAACCTAGAAGAACTGCAAATGTCCTGGTTCTAAACAGAGTTCTGTCTGGGTGTGTGGTTTAGGGTCAGTTACTTAACCTCTCTGAGGCTATAACACACCCATGAGCCTACTGCCCAGGTTAAGCCCCCTTTGCCCTTTATTTCCTGATCATATCCTCTTCTCTTCCTCCCTGCCCCAGATGTTCTAATACTTTCTTCATCTGTAAAATTGGGGTCTAAATACCTGTTTTCATAGGATAGTGGTTCACATTCGATGATAAGTGTTTGGAAAGTGCCTGGCACACACTACAGTTGGACTAAATGCTCATTTCCATTGTACAGTTGTGCAGATTCATGTGCAGAAAGCGAATGTCACGTGTATAGGGATGCCATAAGTTGGTGCATTCATTCCTACAATTTCACAGCAGATGATGGTAAAGTGTCTCCTTGAAGAAAAAAAAAATCCATCCATTAAATGTGACCGATTTTCAACGATGAAAGTCGTTTGTAATTTGCATGAAGGCCAACATTGCCTTGTCTGTTCCCACCCCATTTCACTAATTCCCTCTAAGATTATCACTCTATCTCCTTTGAATTTTTAATTTATCTACTGAAAACTATTCTTGCCCTGTAGCAAATTACAGTGTGGATTTGCCTCCCTGTGGCTGTAATCACCAGGGATTCTTAGTGGTCTCAATGTTAATGCTTCCAGATGGGAGCTAATAAAATGGCCGCTCCTTTTCTTGGAGAAGTTCCTGAGGGGATTGAGTATTTCTGACTCAGCTTCATTCTTGCATCACCTGCTTTGACAGAATTTTCTTGCCTTCTCTAAAGAAGAAAAAGGAAAAGCAGCGGCAGCTGGTAAGTGGTTTCCTGATCCCACCCTGTGAGTCAGTCACAGCTATAGATAAACATTTGTAGAATTACCTAGAAAGGAAGGAGGAGGACATTGCTTTTTTCTGTGTGAACAGTTCCGGGAACTCCACAGTGAATTTCCTGTGAAGAAGCTTACATACCCACAGTTCTCCACACTCTGATGCACACCTTCTTCTGTTCCCCATTCACCCACTCAGCTCCATCCCCCTCAGCCCAGGGTTCCTTACACACTCACCTTATTGACTGGTCTTTCCAGAGTTCATTTGTTTATATCAGATGCCCTTCAACAAACAGTAGTAGGTGTTCATGAGCCCAGCCCTGTGCTAAACAATGGAGATTGGAAGAGATGAGACATAAACCCATGGGGAAATGTGTTCTTGTCAAATAGAAAAGTGAGAAACAAAACTATGTATATGGGGAACTGTGTTTCTAAAAAGAGTTACTGGAAAAATCAGATTGCCAGTCAACATGGTAGAGTAAGCAGGTGGCCACCTACCTCCTGCTCTAAATACATAAGGATGCTGGCTAAAATAACAATTTACTTTAAATAAATAGCCAATTTCAAAGAAATGGAAGTTCCCAGGTGGCAGAAAGAAGAATTCATTCTGAAGGTAAGTGGATATCAAAGTCACAGTGACCTTCCCCCCCACCCAAGACACTGGGCATGGATACAGATGGGCCATAGAGGCTAGGGGCTAGGGTTTGAATGCCCCTAGGGAGATGGGAGATAGCCTCAGGGCCTTTCAAGGTAGAAACTGAAATAGGCTGCCTCCAAGAAAAATTGGAAGAAAACTACATGTTAACTGTAGTTGCCTCTGGGAGGTGAGGTTAAGATAAATGTCACAGGGGCGCCTGGGTGGCTCAGTCAGAGTGTCCTCCGCCTTTGGCTCGGGTCACGATCCCACAGTCCTGGGATCAATCCCCAGCGTTGGGCTCCCTGCTCAATGGGGAGCCTGCTTCTTTGCTCCCTCTGCTGCTCCCCCTGCTTCTGCTCTCTCATTCTCTCTCAAATAAATAAAATCTTGAAAGAAAAAAAATGTCACAAAAACTCAGTCTGCGGGAAGGAATCCTAAGCTCTTGGGGCAGAGAGAATTGGGTCAAGGAAGCCTTCCCAGAGGAAGGGCTGCTAGAGCTGGTTAGGGAAGAGGCCTAGCCTTAGCACGGTTGAGCCACCAGGGCCTGCACCTGGGATCAGAACCCATGTCTCCTGGCTCAGTTCTGCTTCCTGCCTTTGCATAGCTGTGCTGCCAAGATTCTCTGTCCAGGTTTCTAGCCAGTCATTACAAATTTTTTCTTTCTCTTTTTGGCTCTCTGGGCCTTTCACCAAAAACACTTCTGCCTCACACAAATCTCTAGGTCAACTGTAACTGTAGTTCAACTGTCTAAACTGGATTCAGCCAAACAGCTCTGCTTTAGGTTGAGGCTGGGCTGGGCTCCTGTGTTGATTGGACTCCAGTTTGTTCCCTGTGGTTCCTTCTGGGACCCGTGCTGAAGTTGGAGCAGCTGCCCAGGGTTGTTGGAGCACAAGAGGCCAAATGAAATCACACAAGCAAAGAAATAGTTGAAGAAATAAAGGTTGGGAATTTTCTAAAATTAAGGACAGTAAGCCATAGATCCAAGACACTCAAAGAACACCAAACAAAATATATGTATACACATACTAGGCATATCAAAAATGCTAAAACAACAAAAAAATGCTGAAACAGAATCTTAAAGACCAGCCCAGAGAAAAAATGACGACCTACAGAGGAAGCAAAAAATTACCAAATGATGCAAGCCAGAAGACTGGAGTGACCAGCACTGAAAGAAGAAAACCTGTCAACCCAGAGTCCCACACCCAGTGAAAATATCTTTGAAAATGAAGGGGAAATAAAGTCTTTAGAAGAAAAAGAAAAACTGAGGGAATACATTGCCAGAAGACCTCTGTTTCAACTAGAAATATTAAAGGAAGTTCTTTAGGCAGAAGGAATGTGAAACCAGACAGAAATGTGGGTCTACAACAAAATTAAGAGTGCTGGAAATGGAATAAATGGAAGTAAAATTTAAAATTTAATTGCTTTAAAATAAGTCTACAGAGGTCAGCAAATCTTCTGTAAAGGAGCATGTAAATAATTTTAAGTTTTGCATGTCCTATGATCTCTTGTAAGCACTCTACTGCTGTGGAACGAAATCAGTCTTAGGCAATAGGTGTATCAGCATGGCTGTGTTCCAATAAAGCTTTATAGACTCTTAAGATTTGAATTTCACATAATTTTTATGTCCTACAAGTTACTCTTTTGGCCTTCCCCCCCCCCAATCATTTAAAATTGTTAAAGCCATTCTTGGCTCATGAGCCATCCTTTAGATTGTGTAACTATAGCATATGTAAAAATAAAAAATATGTATACAGGGAATGGTGGTATATCTGTACAATGAAATACTGAGCAATAAAAGGAATACACTTGTACATGCA